GGCAACCTCACAAGGGCTGCACCAAAAGGCTGTCGGACGCTGCCTTCCAGCCAGTGTTCTTCCTAGCACAGTGGCCAGGCACGTTGGAAGGTGGACCCGGAAGGTTCTGGCCTCAGCCTGGATGCACAGTGCGATCATCTGGCAGCCCGTAAAAGCCCCACACCCAGACCCACTGTGTCAGATCTCTGGGCTGACACTGGGCAATGTTTAGAAGTTCCAGATGATTCTCAGGTTAGCCACTGTCCAGATCAGTGTTTCTCTGCATTTGGGGATGTGCTGAGCACTGTGACCCACTCCCAGAGCATGCTGTTGCTTGCTTGCTTAAGAGCCATTCTTCCTGGGCCAAATCATTAGACATAAAGACAGGAGGGATTCGAATCTCTTGGCATTGCTGGCGGGGAGGCAAAATGTGCAGCTGTCTTGGAAAACAGCCTGGGTTTTTCAAAGAGTTACGCATAGAATTACAATATGACCCAGCACTTCTTACTCCTGGGGATATACCTAAAAGGATTGAAACGGCCCCAAACAAATACCTGTCTGTGTATGTTCATAGTAGCATTATTCCCCAGCAGCCTAAAGGTGGAAACAGCCCAGTGTCCATCATGGATGAGGGGATCAGCACACTGTGGTCTATCCATGCCGTGGAGTACTATGCAGCCAAGAAAAGGAGCGAAGCACTGGCATGTGCTACTACATGGATGAGCCTTGAGGACATTATGCTGAGTGAGACAAGCCAGTCACAAGAGACCACACACTGTGGGAGAATGGAGCACGACTGCAATGGGCACAGGGCTTCCTTTTGGGGAGATGGAAAAGTTCTGGGCTTAGATCATGGCTATGGTTGCACTGCATTGCGAATGTACTGAATGGCACTGAATCGGTCACTGTGAAATGGTTAATTGTAGCTGATGTGCATTTCACCTTGATTAAAAAAATCTAGAAAGAATCCGTGCTTTCCTTCACACCCTTCCCATGGACTCTCTAGTTGGGGTTGGGACTGTACGTCTAACAGGTAGGATGGGGAGGAGCAAGACCCCTGGAAGTGATGAAGCCTCACCTGGAGGAGTCTCAACGTAATGTCAGTGAAGTTCTTGGAATAAGTGCCTCCAGTAGAACTTGCCCCTTAATAATGAAGAAGAGACCCTTTCCTTCCAAGACCCCTTATTCCTGGATTATTTTCTTCTTTCTCATAGGAACTTTCAAGGGGTCCATTGACAGCATCCCAGACATCCCAGTCATCCCCCAGGATAAAAACGTGACAGTGACCAGCATCATCCTCGCCCTGATCGTCTTTGCAGCCATGGCTGTTGGCTGGATGTGCAGAAGCAGGTGTCCCCACAGAAGCTACGCAGGTATGGACGAGACCTGGGTCGTACATGTCCGTGCGTCTTTTGTTACTTTGAGCTTTTTGCCTTTTTTAAACCTTTGTAATTCTGCAAGGTGTTGATTTAATTTAGAATTCAGGTTTTTTTTTTTTTTAAGATTTTTAAAGTAGATTTCTTCCATGAATGAGAGAGAAACAGAGAGAGCATCCCCAAGAGGTCCCCATGCTGTGACCCAGCCCCAGCCCCACCCTGGATCACGGCTTGCGCCTGCTGGAGTGTTCAGAACAGTCTCCAGCCACAGAGCAGACCCTTCCCAAGGAAGTGGGCTTGGCGGAGCGCTACATTGCTAGTGCCCCTTCTGACCCCCTGAAATTGAGCCTCAATGGCCATGACGTTCATGAGTGTGAGTAACGCAGATCTTACAGGAAGTCGATTTGAGGCCCAGACACCCTGGGACATGGTGTTCCCAATGTGTCCAGGCCAGGGATGCTGCAGCAAGCTCGACTTCCAGGGTGGGTGGGGTAGAGGGTTCCAATGAGAGATCAACACCGTTTGTTTGAGGAAGCCGGCTGAGTCCGCCTCCATCACTGACAGGACCAATTCTGGCTGACTCGAAGGAAGATCCGAAAAGACAGGCTCATAACCACGTAAGATGCGATAGCAGGATTTATGGTACAGAGTAGAGAAGCCCTGAGCAGGGGCTACATACGGTCCTCATGATGAGGTGGAGCACCCGGGAGGGTGGGCAAGGCCTGGTGGCCACTGGGGTAGGATCGGCCCACAGCTAGAGCCTGCCCTGAGGGGGCTCCTTTCCTGCCCCTCCGTGGCGTCCTGCATTTCCAGTGTGTGGACAAAACCAGCCCCCGGTATCTTCTACTGCCCAGGCCCCACTGCTGCCTCGCCAGACTATAGAAGGGTCTCTGGGCCAGGACGCAGGTCCCCTTGCAAGCCCCCAACACACAGACCCCTTACAGAGCACCTCCTCCCAGGTGAGGTGCATTAGGGAGCCTTCACCTGGGAGTCTAGTCCTCACCTGGAGCAGAAGTGAGGGGGCTACTGAGAGCTCGGGACCACCGGGTTCTTCAGACCACCTGCCCCCACCCACTGCCACCAGAACCTTGTTGGTCTGTCCCACAGGTGCCACGGCTGCAACACTAGAGCCTGAGCTCCCAGGTGAGTTGGTGACGGCTGCAGGCAGGCTGGGTGTGGCTGGCTGGCTGGCAAACTTCCAAATGCTTTCGAAAGGCAGAAGTTGTGGGGAGGGACAGGCAGAGGTTGGTTAACAGACATAAAATTCGCTTACCTGGGAGGAACACGTTCTATTGTTCTTAGCACAGGAGGGTGACTAGTTAACAGTAATGTGTTGTGTATTTCAAGTTAGCAAGGAGAGAGGATTTTTCAAGGCTTCCAGCACAAAGGAATCACAAATGTTTGAAGCGGTGGACATGCAGTAATCCTGATTGGATTGTAATACTTTGTATTTCTGCACTGAAACACTGCACTCTCCCCCATACATACATGTAATTATTGTGTTAAAAATGTATTTTTTAAAAGCATGTCCTACGTTCTGGATGTGCCCTGCAGCATCATTCAGCTGTTCACCTGTCCTCCGTATTTCCTGTATCTGGAAGTTATAAAGGACTAAGCACTCGACTCAGTTGAAGTAAAAGCCATCTGGCAGACGCTGTTTGCCTGTTTGCCCCTGTTACCTCCGGAGCTGCAGACTCATGAGGCGATGCAGAGGCTCTCCACGCTGGCTTCCTTTTGGCATGGAGTCTCCTCTTGGGTCACCTTCCAGTGCTATACAATGCATTTCCCAAATGTGCCAACACAGAGAGACAACAGTGGCCCCAGATCCCTCCCAAGCGTCTCCTGCTGTCGGCTGCACCCCAGTGGGGTGTCCAGAGCAGGAGCAAATACCCTTGGCTTCTCTAATTCAGCAGTTCTTGCTGTGGCACCAACAGCTGAGGGCTCCTGGTAGAGGGGCGCACCTCACAGTCCCGGGAGCAGTGGGACATGTGGGTTCCCAGTCCGGTTTGGAAATAGCCTCACATGGAGTCATTGGTTTGTGCTTGGCAGGTGCCTTGGGCCAGGAGGGTGATGGGCTTCAGAGTGAGCCTGGCAGGCTGGCCACCCGGGCAATGATGGCACGTCCCCATGTCCTGTTTCTTCCCACATGAGAAGGGGCATGCCTGGGACGGTGGGGCCCAGGGTGCACAGCCATCACAGTGGAGCATGACCTTTGGGTACAATGAAGTAGACACTCTCTGAGGCCATGGTGGCTAGCTTCAGGAAACTTGGGTGCAGAACTTGCTAAAATATGAGGGTCCCCTCTCCCTCGCAGTCGATGACTGCAGGCTGTTTTTGTGATTTTCAGATCCTTTGTTTTCACCTAAGTCTGAGACAATCTGTCTCTGCCTCTAAAATGGGAAGGCAGTGGCCCTGTGCTTCACGTTCCTCTCTCTTCTCATTCCTTCCAAGACCGCCACGTGTGACAGGAGCTGCTGCCCAGATGTGGACAGGGCTTCTGTGAGGTGCCACTGAGAGGACACGGCCAGAAGCTGGAGCCTGGACTTGGAAAGGCCTGCTGGCCAAGTGGACAAGGACCTTCGGCCTCATCTGTGCACTTGTTGAGGCCAAGGGCCTCCTGACTGGAAGAGGCCTGCCAGGGAGGTCATGCCAGGACCTGTCCCTGATCCCTTTCCAGAAGGTCAGCAGTGCTGGAATGCAAGTGAGCAGGCGCCTTTGCTGCCAGATACAGATGAGAAGGGACCTTGGGATGGTGCCTCCAACAGGAGCACTGAGAGCCTACAGAGCACATGGCTAGGGCACCCTTGTCCACATCCCAGGCCCACCTGCACAGCGGGCAACCACTTGTCAGACTGACAGGAGGATGTTCAGCCAAGAAAGAAGACGAGTTGTCCACTGTCTTCTAGGACCTCCTCTGCGCTGATGGAGTCGCCCTGGGATTTGTGGGGAACACAGCTGCAGACGCTCCACCCACCTTCCCCACTAAGGGTTCAGAATCCATGCATGGGTGTGCATGGGAGTGTGAAGGTGTGTGTGTCTACAGTGGTCAACACTGAAAACCCGCTGGAAGATCCCGCTGAGCCTCATTCTCTAGGATATTTGCTAGAAAGCAAGCGTGATCTCGTCCATCTGGTTGGAAGCTAAGTGACGCTCCTTAAAGGCACAAGTGGAATTCGGCCAGGAGAAAGCCTGCTGTGAGGCTGACATGAGGAAGGTGCAGAGGTTTCCTGGGGCTCTTGGCTTTACCACCTGAGAAATGCACCCTCAAGGAAAGCAAAACTACGACTCACGCACCTTGGGCCAGGAGAGTGATGGGCTTCGCAGAGGGGCTGGCTGGCTGGCAGGAATGAAAACACACTTGCAGTCTCCCACTAGCCTTGGCAGGCCTCGATCCTGTGCACTTCCCAGCACCTGTGACTACAAGCAGGACAGGCTTGAGAGGGCATTCTCCTTGCAGCTGTTGCCATCTCTCTTTCTTCTTTTTGAAGTTTATTTATTTATTTTCTTCATGAGACACTGGAATCCTTTGCAACCTTCACTCCACGATCTACCCCCAGCCCTGCAGCTGCCAGGATCATGGACAGGCACACCCAGTGTTTTCAAATTAACCAGGACCCGCCTCCGGCTTCACACAGCAGCACTCCTACCTCTACCTCCTGCCCCACCGCCGCTAGGCCAGCCATGGCGGTCTTTCCGGCAGAGTCATTCCCCGCAAGCGTGGTGTGGGCAGCTTCAACCCCACCTTAGCAGCCTGGAAATCGCCTCAGTCAGCAACCGAGGCTCCACAGGCCCAGCACTCCCACCCAGGCTTCGTGGGCCCGGCACTCCAACCAGGACAGGGGCCAGCAAGGTGTGACCCAAGCCCTGACTCTCATGGGCATTTTTCCATGTGGTTTCCTGGATGCATCTAGCAGTTTACTGCTTCCAGAAGTTTCTGTACAGGAGGCTGCCAGGTAACCCAGTTGTGTACACACCCCAGGGAAATGTTGTAACAAACAACACCGTTGCAGTTGGCCGTCAGTCAGCATCTAGAGGATGCTGAGGAGCACCAGGAACCTGGAGGGGTGTGAGAAGTTGGGGTACAGTGTCTGTTCAGCAACCGCAGAGTGGTTCCTAAACAATACCTCCTGAGAAGCCATGCCCACCCAGAGGACTGAGCCCACCGCCCCTTGGCCTCGAGATTGACTTGGTCCTCAGCAGACCCTTAAGGGTGTTGAGGGCCAGGGCTCTGCCAGCCAAATGGTCAGGCAAGCAACGATAGAGTCTGGCTCCAGCTTTTCCTGTCGGGAGCCCTTTTCCTTCATGGGGGACACAGGAAGCTATCCCAGGGCCCACAAAGCCCAGGCTGCCTACTTGGGAGCAGGGCCTGCAGAGACCCCCAAGGATTACTCTCCCCACTGTGAGTCTGCTCCTGCCCAGACCCTGAGTTTGCAGGGGCAGCAAAGCCAGGCTCTCTGCGGGTGAGTGCCTGAGTCATCACCCCCCTGCTGGTCCCGGCAGGTCCTGTGTAAGGCCACAGCCCCTCCTCCCCTGGTGTCTCCCCAGGCGTGAGAGCCACTCAGACCTGCCGAATCGTGGTGGGCGAGCACTTTGGCATTTGTGAGACTGGCCTTGGGCACACTTGCCCCTTTCAGTCTAAACGTCACTGTGCCCTTGTTCTGTGCTGTAGACTGAATTCTGATGTTTGGACAGCTATTTCCATAGCCCTGCCCAAGAGAATACAAGATGCGCACCATGTCTGTGTCTGTGTCCCTCGGCTTTGTCAGCGCAGCAAGTTCTGGGCACCAAGTCTCCGCTGGCTGTAGGGTCTGGGCAGTAATGGGTACATGTCCTGACACCGGTGGCTTTCACTCAGGGGTGACCTGACCTCCAGGGATCATGGGGCACAGTCTAGAGATGTTGTGGGTTGTCGCACTTAGGGGTTGCTGTCTGCCTCTAATGGGGTTTGGCAGTGCACCCTACAATGCCTAGGGCCTCCCTCCTGAAGGGTATCTCACAGAATATGAAGGGGCTTCCCACTGCCCTCAATAACCCCCAGGGGAAGGCAGGAAAAGTAGACCCTCCAGCTCCAGGTCCCCATGGACCAGGCAGGGGCTGCAGAACTCATCCGGGTGGGATAGGGAGGCAACTCATGGTTGGTGGGTCCAAGCCAGGCAGTTCTGGATCAGGGCTGGTAGCCCTGTCTGGAAGCCCGACAGCTTGTTTGGAGCTCTGCCTCATCGCTATGCGTGGAAAGAATCCTGGCACTTGGCCTTGTGGGGAAAAGTCCCTGGCCCCACCAGCCCCGTGCCCTTGGAATCCCCATCTCAGACTTGAAGCTCCTGCACCCACCACACTGCCCTGCACGTAGTAGGTGTGCAGTGAACATACACTGGGGAAGACAAAGCAAGTCTTGCAGGTGGGACAGCCCTTCACTAGGGCAGGGGGAACTGAAAAAAAGTGGCTGGGACCCTAAACATGTCTCTGTGCTCCGGGCCTGTTTCCATTCCTGAAGGGAGGCTGCTGGAACTGGGGTCTGTCTACTGGCTCCTGCAGCTCAGATGCCCCAGAGACCGAGGCCCCCATCTTGATGAGGGAAGTTGTGCTTTAGGAACTTCTGGGCACCTCCAGGCTGCCATGTGCTGTCTGCCTGATGGCCCAGGACCCCATCAGGGCAGAAGCCAGTGGGTAGCTTGAGCGATGTCAGAGCGGTGGGCTCTGACTTGTGGTCCTCCATGGAGCAGGCTGGGAGGACCTCCCTCTAACAGCTTCTGTCTTTATGTCCCTCCACACCTGACCTTGCAACAGAGACATCTATTGGGAGGCAGCCGCTCCTACTTGATCTGGGGACATCTTGGCCTCGGCGACTTTCCTCCCATCCCACAGCCCGGAGTGTTAGGAGCCCAAGGGACTGAGCTCTGAGGCTGGTCTTATTGGCCACAGCATCTTTGCCACACAGTTGTCCCCATCACCCTAGGCCACCCCAGTCCCAAAGCGTGATGACCTAGTCCAATCCTCTTCCCATTCCTGGGAGTCAACTAGCCCACTGGCTACACTCCTAAATATTCCCCAGCACCTTGAAAGGCGGCCCCTTTGTGTCTGATTCCTATGAGGAATCTCAGAGACTAGTAAACTGTGACTTTTCTAGAAAACATATGGATCCTGCCCTAATGGGGGAGAAGCAGCCACCTGGGGACCTTTTGTGAGGAGGGGTGAGGTCAGGGCAGTTCCCAGACCTGGGTCTTTATGTATCAAGAATCCAGGGGCTTCCTCCTCACATCAACTTGTCTTCAGTGGCCAGAGGCACAGCAGGCTCTGGGAAGAGGCTTCTGCCACGGCTCCTGTTGGAAGGAACGGTCCAGTCTTCCTGGGAGGACCCCAGGTGCCTACACTGCCCTCAAGCAAGTGTATGTGGGCCCAGCCTCTGCAAAAGCAGGTGAGAGCCCCTGGCCAGCCGAGACCAGGGTGCTCCTCCAGAGGGGGCACATAGCATGGTCCTGACCTTGGCCTTGGAGAGCGCCTGCAGGGGCTCAAACCAAGGACTGACCAGAGCCCTACCTTCCCCCTCTCTGTCCAGGCCCTGCACGTCCTAGCCACCTCGTACTCTGCTGTGTGCAGGTGCTGCTGCTTGTCCCCGCCCTTCCCCAGTAGGTAGCAGGACTGCCTTCCCCCTCCCCGCCTGTGCTCTCAGCTCTGGACTCAAGGCCCATCCCAGGAGAGTGTGACTCATCTCTAGGCCCTGACTGGGCAGGGCACCAGGGGGTGCTGGGCTGTGAGAGTGTGGGTCTCCATGATGACCTGGTGTTCCGCACAGGCACTGGGCCCCCAAAGGCTGTGAGAGGCAGCTGGTTTGGGAAACTCCTGGGCTAAGTGCAGGAGTGTTTCTCAGTAACCTGCTTGGGGGGTTCAAGATGTGGGAGGGGAGGAAGAGAGGAACAATCCCTGCTCTGCAAATCCAGGGTGGTCCCTCATGCTTGCCCTGTACCCAGAAAGTGACAGACTGCAGAGGGACAGAAGCAACATGGTGATTGAGTTAAAAGTGCAACCCAGAGGGTAACTGGGCCCAGAACCATAGCCAGGGCAGACAGGGACAGTGAGGCCTGTGCCATGGCTGTCAGTCACTGTGGGGCCTGGTGGGAGGGGCTGGACCGAGCAGCCTGAGGCCACAGTCATGAAGCACATCAGGCTGAGAGGCTCGAGCATGGGGCATTTGTCCTCTCACAGGCCTGGAGGCTGGAAGTCTGAATCAGGGAACCTGAGCAGGGTCCTCCCTCGCCTCAAGCAGACCTAGTGGTCTCTGCCTCCATCTTCACATGGCTTTTCCCATATGTCTGTGTGTCCTTTTCTTAGGACACCAGCCATAGGAATAAGGGCCTCCCTCACCCAATGTGACCTTAACTTGGTCACATCTGCAATGACCCTATTTCCAAAAAAATCGCACTTCAAGGTTCCAGCTGGACATGCATTTGGGAGGTACTTTCCAAGCCACTGCACACACAGAAGGGAGAGAGGGGGAAAGATGGGAGGGTGCAGGAGGGAGGGGCTACAGGCCAGAGCCCAGCTGAGGCCCAGTTCCCGGTGCCGCTTGGCTCGGTGCTCAGCTCCATGTGGAGCGGCCCCTGCTGGTCTGCCATGGCAGTGCCTGGGTTCTTTGCCTCTCAGTCAGCCGCATGCAGATGCGGCCCCTCACTTCATTCAACTAGGAGCGAAGCCAGGCCTGAGACTTCCCTGCCCAGGGAGACCTTCCGGACCCCCCAGCCATAGGAACAAGGGCCTCCCTCAGCCAATGTGACCTTAACTTGGTCACATCTGCAATGACCCTATTTCCAAAAAAATCGCACTTCAAGGTTCCAGCTGGACATGCATTTGGGAGGTACTTTCCAAGCCACTGCACACACAGAAGGGAGAGAGGGGGAAAGATGGGAGGGTGCAGGAGGGAGGGGCTACAGGCCAGAGCCCAGCTGAGGCCCAGTTCCCGGTGCCGCTTGGCTCGGTGCTCAGCTCCATGTGGAGCGGCCCCTGCTGGTCTGCCATGGCAGTGCCTGGGTTCTTTGCCTCTCAGTCAGCCGCATGCAGATGCGGCCCCTCACTTCATTCAACTAGGAGCGAAGCCAGGCCTGAGACTTCCCTGCCCAGGGAGACCTTCCGGACTGTAGCTGCCCCCTCCAGCCTGTCTGTTCCAGCCTCTCTCCCAAGCCTGCCATGCCACCTAGTCCTACACAGGAGCCTCTGCTGTGGGTAGCGCGGGACACTGGCCACCCGTGCATGACAACCTGCCCATGGCCCCTACATTTTGTCCTCCCTGCCAGCCACTGTCTCAGGTAGTCTCCATGGGTGAGGACGCAGCTCAGCCTGCAAGGTGGCAGAAAGGACACAGGACTTTCTCCTCACAAGCCTGTGCAGCAGCCTGGGGAAGGCCCCTCCGGCCATTGGACTCCATCCTCCACTTCTTTTGGGCCTTCCTCAAGCCTTGTGTGCCTTTTAGGGTCAGACCCCTGTGGAGTGAGTCTGGCGGCCCTACCAAGGATGCATCCTCTAGACAGCCACTGTGCTGCAAGGGAAGTGAGACTGGCCTGTCCTCAGGATGGGCATGGCCGGGTTGAGGTACTGGAGAGCCTCAGGTGTAAGACAGGGCTGGACGGGAGAGTCATTGGTGGAGAAGTGGCCGACCCCACAGAGGTGCTGGAGAAAGCGCCAGCACGTGGCCGAGGGGTGTGAGAGTGAGCGTTCAGCTCAGGAGTATCCAGACCTCCAAAGGCGTGACAGACAGGACCCCTCTGTGATCCTCTGACCCCACGCAGGCCCGATCGTGGCATGATCCAAGGAGGTTGGTCGTCCAGGCCAAAGGAGCCTTGCTGTCTACTTTGGTCTGGGTAGAAAAGCAGCTGGTTCAGCTTCATTCCAGACTCCAAAATCAAGGGGCCTTAGCGTTTCTTAAACAATAAAAAATAAATAAATAAAATAAATGGGACTAAGAGTTGGCGTAATGGCTATGTCGCTGGACTCCCTTGTAGCTGACCGTGGTTCAAGTCCTAGACCTGGTGGCTTAAACTCACGCCGGGTGTGTGTGTGTGTGCATGCCCAAGATCTCAAGAGGAGAATGGAGGAGAAGGAATTGTGGCATGGCCATCCCTCCTGGGGGGGTGATTTCTCGCTTTCTATCTCTCTGTCTCTCTCTGTCTGTCTGGCAAGCACATGGGCCCTATAACAAAATCCTCTCAAAAAAAAAAAAAAATTCATGGGACCAGCAGTTAGCATAATGGCTATATTGCTGGACTCCCATGTAGTTGACCACGATTTGAGTCCCGGACCCAGTGACTTAAACTCATGCCGGCACGTGTGTGTGAGTGCCCAAGATCTCGAGAGGAGAATAGAGGAGAAGGGATTGCGGCATGGCCATCCCCCCAGGAGGTGATTTATTGCTTTCTGTCTCTCTCTCTCTTTCTGGCAAGCACACACGCCCTATAGCAAAATCTTCTCAAAAAAAAAAAAATTCCTGGGACCAACAGTTAGCATAATGGCTATGTCACTGGACTTCCATGTAGTCGACCGCTGTTCGAGTCCCGGATCCGGTGGCTTAAACTCATGCTGGGTGCATGTACGTGTGTGCCCAAGACCCCGAGAGGAGAATGGAGGAAAAGGGATTGCAGCGTGGCCACCCCCGCAGGGGGTGATTTCTCTCACTTTCTGTCTCTGTCTCTCTCTGTCTTTCTGGTAAGCGCACGTACCCTATGGCAAAAACCTTTCCAAAAAAAA